CCATCCATCCATCTATCCATCGTTTATCTGTCAATCAATCAATCCATCCATCCATCGTCTCTCTATCTATCTATCTTTTATCTATCTATCTATCTATCTATCTATCTATCTATCTATCTATCTATCTATCTATCTATCTATTTATCCATCCATCCATCTATCTGTCTGTGTCCAACTATCCATCTATCTATCTATCTATCTATCTATCTATCTATCTATCTATCTATCTATCCATCCATCCATCCATCCATCCATCCATCCATCTGTCTGTGTCCATCTATCTATCTATCTATCTATCTATCTATCTATCTATCTATCTATCTATCTATCTATCTATCTATCTATCTATCTATCTATCTATCTATCTATATCTATCTATTCATCTATCCATCCATCCATCTATCTGTCTGTGTCCAACTATCCATCTATCCATCTATCCATCTATCTATCTATCTATCTATCTATCTATCTATCTATCTATCTATCTATCTATCTATCTATTCATCTATCCATCCATCCATCTATCTGTCTGTGTCCAACTATCCATCTATCCATCTATCTATCTATCCATCTATCCATCCATCTATCCATCTATCCATCTATCCATCCATCTATCCATCTATCCATCTATCTATCTATCTATCTATCTATCTATCTATCTATCTATCTATCTATCTATCTATCTATCTATCTATCTATCTATCTATCTATCTCACTTTGCCTATATTTTTCATTAATGCTATAGCTTATATATTTCCTTGAAAATGTAAAGGAAAAAAGTTCAATCTTATACCTGATCGTTGAATTCTATTTGAATATGAGTCTCTATCTTCTAGACTGACCGGTTTCTGTATTCTTATTAAATCACAATGAGAGAAAAAACATTAAAGACTTGATCATTACATTCCAATTTGATGCAAGAAATAATGAATCGTCACTTTTCTCAAACGAGTCCATTAGAGCCACACGGATTGAGTTTGAAGCCAAAACAATAAAAACAGTTTTCGTTTATGGCCGTTTACATCAATATTTTAATCACAGATCGTGTCTATCATTATGAAGTTTCTTATGCACATTTTCTCTTTCAGGAGAGATGCACAAACTCGATGAAAAGGTGAAAAGTTCATCACGATAGTCGTGTTATAGTGCCATTGCAAAAGTCTCCACAACTGAGGCGCAACAAGTCTCGTGCGCGCGCCTGACAGGAGATGGCTTCTTTCTTTCTTTCTTTCTTTCTTTCTTTCTTTCTTTCTTTCTTTCTTTCTTTCTTTCTTTCTTTCTTTCTTTCTTTCTTTCTTTCTTTCTTTCTTTCTTTCTTTCTTTCTTTCTTTCTTTCTTTCTTTCTTTCTTTCTTTCTTTCTTTCTTTCTTTCTGCTCCCGAGATCTCGTTAAATGCATGTGTTTCATAACAATCAAAATGTCCAAAACTCGGGCGCGCGCGGCTACATTATTCTCTCCATCATTGTAAATCTTTAGTATATAATGAATGGTGTTGGATTAAATAGATTTAGATTCAGATGTCCTTCAATATCGCTGGAAACATAACACCTACAATGATTAGTCTATAGACCCGCAATTAAACGTTAAACGTCTACGTTGCATGTGCATCACTCTTCGGGTAAAGTTTGTTATTTCGCTTTCAGTAAATATTAGACATTTATGTAAAGAGAAATGTATGTACACAGATAACATTTTCAGGGGAATAAACTAAAATGCAGATATATTTTGCACATGCCGAAATGGAAGATTGATGCACCAAGGGAATTTGTATGAGCATGAATGAATATGAATTAGTATTAGCACTTACAATCTGTGTTATAGGCCTATATTATGTAAATTTCAAAAGCCATTTCATTCAAATGAAAATGCTTTTTGTTGTATTGAACATTATTTGTTGAGTGTGTTTGGTTGAGTTTTGCTGCACGCATGTTCAAAACGGAAATGATTTCAGAGAAACGATTTATACGCTGTATTTATCTTTTGAAGTTCAATTAAAATTTCAATAAAGCAGAATATGCATTTTTATTTTTCTTCAAAGTTAATGAACTCCGTTATGCTGCGCCTCATGGTTTTTGCCTCTTTATTCATAATTTTAATAGTTCATGCTGCTTTGACAGAACATTTCACACGATTTAATTTCTTAGTTTTGATTTCGATTAAGAAAATCTTAATATTAGTGATTACAAGAGTTCTATAGAAATATGTTATACAATAAATCTACTTGCCTATTTTGACTGAGCCAGTTTAAAGCTGATCCCGTATAGTTTGAAAAATATATATTTTTTAAAGAAAAATATTAAAAACTGTATGCATAATAATTATAATTTATAGTTTTAGATGGACTATAGCATATCACAGAAGGTATATCAATAGTGTAGCCATACTCGACCAAAACGTAGGCTACAAAACAGACTTTTTATTAGTTATAACCATAATGCTGTTGTCCTTGTTTTTCCACTCAAACTCCATGTGTTTGCATGAAAATATATCATCGTGTTTGACTAAATTCACTTTAATATTTCCAGCTGTAATAATGATCTCAGTCATGCGCCCCTAGTGTTCAAATTCTGACCAAATTTATAGCCTATATACTAAAAATATATTTTATTGGTATTTTTTTCTAATCTTCATTTTAGAAAACATAGGCCTATTTAATTGTAGCCTATATGCAACTGCGCAGATCCATAAGAATTTGGAATAGGTTTTTTAGTCATTCATTAATTCGTTTCAATTCATTCATTTCTATTGTAACATTTTGCCAGTGTTTTGTTTCGCTCAGATTAAAACATAGAATATAACAGGCGGGAAAGAGGCTTTGAAACCATGACTGCAAACATTATAATATTTATCGTATTTACCATTCCAAAATATTTGAGCAATGCGGTGAAACTAGTTTGAATTAAATAATTCCCAGTTTATATTTACATTGTATTGAATCATCTTTTTCATGGCGATCTAGACCCGTGGTCTGTGCAGATAATACACTGGAATTGCTTTGAAATTGCTACATCATTGTGTATACTATTCATAAAAAATAACGCATTAAACCGAAATTGCTTGTGTTTTGAAAATTGAGCCACCATGTCCACATAATAGTGCATCTACACACGTTTTTGTGTGATTTATTGAGGTGATTTATAAGGTAAATATACAGGATATTCTCTGTGTAATAGTCTATTTTGACACATGCCTGATTCAGTCATGTTAGGCTTATCCGTGAGTAACAAATTAGTCGTTTAATCGTAACAATTTTGTCCGAGTAAACTGATTATTCGATTTTTTTAATCACTTGGGTAATACCAGCTAAAATCAGACTAAAATAAATGCAACGTTATGAATTCCGCCAACTAAAAAAAAACGAGACAAGTAAATATTAAATCTGAAGTGACGCAGTTCGTAATGCATGAAAGATGACTGGACAACTGGGCCCCATTTTTTCTTTTTCTTTTTTTTTTTCTTCACGTCTGGATAAAGAAATGCTCCGCCCACTAACGCCCACTGTGCGAATACTAATTATGAGTATTGTGCTCATAACAATGGAAGCTGACATGCAGCATTTGCAGACAGGAGATTGTTAACTCTCGCGCACGATTTGACGTCGACACACTCGTTAGATTTTTGCCAGTTTGCCACACCACTGTAATCAGTAGCGATTGCTTTGACAAAACAATTAACTTACTAAAACTAATTATTTATTTATTCATTTGTTTGTTTGTTTATTCAATCGTTTGGGTGTCCATGCATTCATTTATATATATATATATATATATATATATATATATATATATATATATATATATATATATATATATATATAAGCCTATATATACTTATTTTCCGTTTATAGGACAATTAATTATATTATTCAGAATCATTCAATGATCGCTATGGTAATTTTTTTCATATCCCACTTATATATAGCCTTTGTGTGTGTGACACACACACACACACACATATATAGCCTATAGCCTATAGGCCTACTTAATTAATCATTGGTGCGTCCATTTATTCATTCATTTTTTGTTTATATTTACTTATTTTCCGTGTATTATTAATTCTATTATTTATAATTTAACGAGATATATGGTCGTTTATTCATATCCCAACTTATATAGGCTATTTATTATTTAGCCTACTTATTTAATCGTTGGTGCGTCCATTTATTCATTAATTGTCTTATTTATATTTACTTATTTTCCATTTAGCCTATTATTAATTCTATTATTCAGATTCGACGGTCGATTTATGGTCGTTTCTTCATATACAAACTTATTTATTTATTTTCTATTTATTTATTTATTTATTACACACCGTCCTTTGTATTTAACTTTTTCAACGTTTACATTTAATTTAATTTAGCCTATACTGTCTTTAATATCGTATTTTCTTTGCGCTCATTGTATTTTGACATTGTCATTGAGGATATTAATGCACTGTCACGTAAAAAAATTCTGTAGTTTTATAAGACAGTAAATAGGTTTTGTGTTACTCGCACTGTAAAAATCCAGAATTTTATAGCATATTAAGAGTAATTTTTAAATAATAGACAGTCTTCAAAAGAAATGTTGAAAATGGACACATAAATGCTTCTTTTTCAATCTACTGATGCATTTTACATACACAACCATTCATTTAGGGCTAAATCTAAACCCCTTAACCGCTAGGCCTATACATTGGTACAATAATAAATAAAATAGGCTACTTGAAAATCGATAAAAACAACTCTGATCTGATGTCATTAAAACTTATTACATGAGGAATAATTCTGCTGAATTCACAAAGACACAATCAAATTGCAATTTGAACTGTTGTCAATATTAATACATACAATTTCGCCTACAATATAGCCTAATAATAATAATAATAATAAATACATCAACCATGCAACAAAATATTTTATAAAAAAAAACATGCATTTATGTATACTGCATTAAAAAGCAAGGCCTAATTCAGAAGTGAAGCGCACTAGCACGTCTCTAAAGCACGGTTCCGTGTCGTACCTGTGTTTCCGACAGATTGAGCTGTCTCGCGAGCTCCGTGCGCTCGCGCCCGACCACGTACTGACAGCGCGTGAACTCGAGCTCGAGCCGGTAGAGCTGCTCCGCCGTGAAGGACGTGCGCGTGCGCTTCGGCCGGTCCAGATCCAGGCCTTTCGGCAGCACGATCTCCCGGATAGTGCCCTTGGCGTCTGTTCGGGACACACACACATCATTTACTTATTTTGTGTTGAGATAGAGCAATTTCTCTTAGATTATTATGAGTGGGAGAACCCTAAATATATTGTGACGCGTTTAAAAAAACCGATGTGAAAATAAGTGTTTAGATATTTTTTTTTTCATGACAGGACATATTAAACAGACTATGAACTTAGTTATAAAGGTTTGTATTCCTAACTCGTTTAACTGGTTAATGCCAGCTTATAGAAAAAGTAGTTTAATCGAGATTTGATTTTGTTTTACCAATATGCAGTTTAACTCGTGAGTTTTCCAAAGGACTTGCAAAAAGAAGTCCAGTATCTTGATGATTCTGCCCTTCTGCTGAGGTTTAGTTTAAAATGGCATCATGTTACATTTGTGGACATTTGAATTGGTCTATCAAATCATAAAAAATAAACATTTATGTTAGTATTCATCCTAGCAGACCAGAGCTTAACGAGAATAATATTAGTTGGCAATCACTTTTATCGACACATAATTATCAACACATGTGATACAACATTTTATTGATATCATGACTGACATCATGATGTCAGATAATAATTTATTAAAGGAAAGGTCTGTGCTAAGTATATAATACAATATATGTTCCATCAAAAGCATTATGCCTTGGATTATATATATTGGGAAGCCATAACCAAAGCAACATTTTTATTTATCATCATATTTTTAATTAATTTCTATGCCACTTTCAAATGAAACATCCCAGTTGTTTTGAGTGTGTGTGCATGAGATGCAACATTAAACCCAAGATTATTATCCTCAGGTAACTGAATTAAACAGAACTATTCGAGGTAACCGTTTATTACCGATTTTTAATGAAACCAAACATATGGTAAAGATACTTTTAAAAGATGTTAAACACATATTTTTTCTCTCATCTTATCATTGATTTGAAGAAATTGAATGTAGCCTTAAATAAAACAGCACCAACTCTTTACCCAACACTGCATTATTTTGAAATAAAGACAAAAAATCATACATTTCAACGAGTCATATCTGTCAGGGTGGGAGTACACGAATATACTTAGCTTTCCAGAACTTTAAAACCGGTCATTATTAAACTATATGATATTATTAGAATGGATTCAATCAGCTCTATTTTCTAAAACGATGTGAAGTATTAATATTTAGCCTGACGTTCATAGCTCCGCCTATCTGGATGTCTGCCTGGCAACCAAGCTGAGTATATAGTATCACACTTGGATGAACTGTAATATCACAATAAGATTAATGGTGTTTGTTGATAAAGAGCACGAGATGTTAATGGCGAAAGCGTCTGTAATTGCGTTTTCCTCGCGGTTTAATATCAGCGCGAGCTCGTCGAGCATGACGACACAGACGAGCTGACCTCTCCGTGACCCTGGTTCTCACGAGGACTCCGGCGCATTCAATAGCAGCTTTAAAAACAAATAGTGACACCAGGGATTGTGTCGGGATCGTGGGCTTCCAGAGCCGCTGACTGAGACACTATTGCACGACAGTTTCAATTTCACAAAGCATTTAGGCCTACTGTCCATCTGAATCAAAAATTCCTTTAAGAGCATTTAATCATTTCATTTCCATGATGTAGCGATACATTACGATCAAATAAAACTATATAAGCCACAAATATGGCTAAACTGAAACCATATAAATGCACTGAATGGTCTAATTTTAAAACATTGCTATTAACAACACATAGCCTCTTAAAAGTCGTTACAGCTGCATGATGCAAACCATTCCGATGATGGTAAAATATTTAGTGCATTGGTAATATTTAAGCATTATTAGTGCCGTTTTTATTTTCAAAAGTGGACCACACCTGCTCGTCTTTTCTTTCTTTTAAAAACTGAAATGGGAACACGACAAAATGCATAAAGGCTTAATTGTAAAATTATTTCTGGTGATAATGTTCTATATATTAACGATCACGAGGTATAAGCCATTAAACACTCCCTATGTTTTTTTTTTTTTTTGCATGGACCTATTTCTTAAATTTTGGCTCTAACTGTTATTCCTTTTTCTCAGTTTAATAATAGCAGGATTTCATCTGTGTGAAAAATATGTGCTCTTCTAAATAAATATATACTGTGGATTGTATTAATAAAATTCCATTTACAAAATGGGCCACATATTGAGATATTTTGTGTGAATTTAGAACCGGCTAGTGTTTGCATTTTTATGTTTTTGCTGTCGTTTTTAATGTTATTTTAGCTTATTTTGTTATTTAGTTTAGCTTATTTGTTTTATCTCTATACACTCATGTTTGGTTAACCAGTAGTTTGTGTGACGTTAAATACATAATCTATTTCATAAATTTCAAGCAATATAAAAGACACACCTCTCGAAAACAATGCATTTAAACAGCCTATTTAATATGTATGTAATATTTATAATAGCCTATTTATAACATAAATATCTATGAAATTTTTCAGATAAACTCACTGCATAAAACTGTGTGGTGTTTTAAATATTTGTTCAATTTCAGATATTGAGGCTATATTATTTCATTTAATGGGCATCCTTTTAATATTGTGTTGTGGCCTATTGGCAGTTTATTTTGTGCATCAATTTGTGCATTAATGTGTGACATTAATTGTAAATTGTAAACGAATCTCAGATATTTTTGGTGTACATTTAATACTAATAATCTTAAAAATAAAGGTTCTTCATTGGCATCTCAAGCTCCATGAAGAACCTTTAACATCCATGGAATCTTTCCATTCCACAAAAGATTCTTTATAGTGGAAAAAGATTCTTTGGATTTTTAGAATGTTCTTCACACTAAGAAAAAAAAACGGTTATTTTATGGAATCTCTTTTGTGGAACCTTTTATTTTTAACAGTGTATGCTACGAGAACTAAGTAAAATACAAAACCAATAAACAAAATCCGCTTAAAATTACACAAAACAATTTTAGACATTAGTAAAATATATAGCATATATTTTTTTGTTTTTTTTTACTAAATAACGCCTATTCAAAACCAAACAGGAAATGATGTAGTCCCGCAGATTTGCAGTGTATTCGCTTCCTCACCTCTGACCAGAATCCTTCGACAGTAGTCCGGATCGACTCCTAAAAGTTTATCGTGTCCATCCTCGCTGGATGAGGTCGGTGTGGACGCCGAGGTCGCCGGTGTGTCGGTAGAGCTCTGCACAGGTGACCGGTTCCCCACTTCTGTCCGGCTCTTAGAGTCTCTCCCGCGCTCACGGCACAATGCATTGGATCCACAGTGGTTTCGGTCCTCGGCGATTCCATCGCCCATACTCGTGGCTTGATCAAACATCTAACAATTGAACTGTTTTATGTGTCCACTTACTTTTATTGGGCAATTTTCAGCTTAAATAAATAGGCCTAGTCTGCGTAAATTCTTTCCTGGCAGAAATGGGGAGATTAGATTATTCCCAAAACAACATCAAATTAGAATCCAGCGACGGAACCGAGTTTCTGCCCAAATGTTTTCGCATGTTCCGGCATCGGGCGCCCATGCAGGAGGAGATGTGTAAAGAAGGGAAGGAAGGTGGAGGTAGAGGGGGCCCTGTGGGCATGTGGAAGGACCCTCCTCAGCTATAGGATCGCGCTCAACCCAAAATACATTGTGCATATATGCGCTGGGCTTCAAGGTCTGTGACCGAGGCACTGGGAGGCGCTTCACTGCTTAACCACGTAGAAGTAATTCCACACAACAAACATGGACCCGAGCAGCGCAAACTTTCCCTTTCCCCCGTTCATGACTTATATAGTCAATTTACTCGATGACTACACTGGGTGTTTTTTTTTTTTTTTTTTTTTTTTCGTATTTGCTCTGGGCTGGGTTACAGAAGCTCTGGAGGAAGAGCCAGCGGATTTCAGGATTTCTTCGGGAGGAGGGAGGCGCTCATTTTCACGTGGGACCAAGTCAGGAATATCCTATAATAAACGACACAATGCAAGTAGGCTAAATAAATAATATCGGCCTATTATCGGTGTACTCTCAACACAATCCGTTGGCTTCAGCCGTCACGTTAACACGTAATTCCATTGTTTTTGTTTTTTACTTTGACTGACAGCAGTGACGTCACTTCCGGACTGTAATCCATCAATTGATTGATAAACAGAGACGAGTAAGAGCACGAGGTGCTTTCAACACCCGTTAGCTTCAGCGAAATGTGAATGAAACTATCCCTGTTATCTTTAGACTTTATGCTACTCGGTAAGTAGAATAAAAGATTGTTTTTTTAATTCACATTTGCTTTGTAAGCGCGTTTAATTATTTTGCGCTTGCTGAATAACGGACCAGGCAAATATGTTCGAATGCGTCATGATTATAAAGTAGGCTAGCCTAAGCGCCTAAAAAAACGACACGATTATTTAATTAGGCTAAGCCTTTTTTTGTTGTTGTTTTTTACTAAGTCATCAAGGAGCAGAACATGCCGAGGGACGTAATATTTATTTTGCAGAGATAAATTAATGAATAAACTATTAAGTAGCCTAAACTTAAACTCTTTCAAACTGAACAAAATATAGCCTAAAAAAAACCCTAAAAGAGCATATTTTGCGCATTGACACTATTGTTTAAGCTAGGCTACTTTTTTATTTTTAATATTGACAACTGCACAGATAACTTCCTCACAACGTTTGTGCAAGGGAGAATGTTCCTCTAGTGTTATAATTGAGAGAAGGGTCGGTTTGTATACGGAAAAGGGTGATTTATCAGCGATGCCATAAGAACAAATTTACTTCCCCAAAGAACCTTTTAGTGTGAAGAACATAAAGAACATTTAGTATGAAAGGTTCCATTTACGTTAAAGGTACTTTATGGAACCATATGCCAACAAAGAACATTTATTTTAAGAGTGTAAGATGGAATACACATTATTCGCGTTATTGTGCAAGTCTGAACGAGGGGTTTATTTGTGTTTACCTCACGGTACACGAACCGCAGGTGTTCATCACATCATTGAACCGTTGCCATAATACACAAAAAAAAAAAAAAAAAAATTAGAATCTTTTATCTGAGTGCGCAATCCCATTACGGAGGCCGCAATGACATAATTGCAGTTTTGCCACTTTCAGCAGTGTTTATCACTCAGTGCCGAAATGGCTCATTATTGAATTCAGCTGCTCAGCACAGATTAAACAGTGAACGTGATGAATGGAGCTGTCACTCACTTCCTCAAACCAACAGTACAGTCAAGAGAGGTTTAATTGCCTCCACTGCTCTCTGGCCCCACAGTCTCACACACTGGCCCTTTCCTCCAACACACTAATGTTGCAAAACAGCCAAACACACAAACAGACCTTCCCATTTTGGTTTTACCTGACTAAACCAAGAACATGCTCCAAAAAGATCTCTCTCTCTCTCACACACACACACATTATTAAAAAAATATTTTCATGATTTATTACAACTTTTTATCTTTTGTAAAATCAACTTAAATAGCCTACTTAATTTGGTTCAGATAACACAACATTTTATGTTTCTATTTATTAAACCAATCTCCATTGTAAAAAAACAAAACAAAAAAATACATTTATTTTAATGAGCTCAAAATGTAGGTAACTTACTTTAAGTTAAACCAAAAATATTTTTCACACACACACACCACACATACAGGCCTCTATGTCATTTTTTTGTAATATAAACAAAAGCACAAAACCACATTCTAAGTATTTTCACAGATTTTAACCAAAAGTCACGATTAAGAGGATATTGCTTAAAAGTGTTATTTTTAGTCAGATTTATTTATTTATTGAATAGTCAAGACTTTAAGGTTTATGTACAGACATTTACTTTTAAGTGTGACAACTAACCCCGGTCTCTTAAATGTGATTTTAATCTGACTCAGTCAACCATGACAACATAAATGAATAATAACCCTTAATAATTCCTTAGTTAGACCGCAACTTAAGGGTCAAAGCAAGACGCATGTTATAGTTCCTTAGTTCCTAATTCTGATAGACTGGTGGGAAACTGTGGGCCAAACGTAGATATTATTAAACTGTTCATTTCCTTAATAGTTTATAAGAAAATTATAGAACCTAAAAGAAGACAATAATTTAAGAACATCCAAGGTGAACAACTAAAAACGTCTAAATTACAACAACAAATGCAATGGAAAACCATTGAAACACGTAAACATGCAGTAACTCCATTCAAGGCTTCTTGGGAAACACGAACAAATATGAAAAACAGAAATAAATGCATTTGATCGAAATAAAACGTAAACATGGGCCATAGTAGCCTACTACAGTCAATTACAAACCAATTAGTATTGTAAATAAGATCGATGTGAAATTTTACCCAAAATTATACAAATAAGGATTTTGAGTGTGTGAGGGAAACTTCTTATTTTCGCGAACACATTTAACTTTCACTTGAGTTTATTTTTGGCTTTAATGACCAAAAATAGTTTGACGGCTTATAGTATTTTTTAAGTCTCATTTTTAGCGCGCATGCAGCAAATTACGTGTGCGCATTTATGAATGGGAACTTGTGTGATTGTGCATCAAAGTTAAAGGGATAGTTCACCCCAAAAATGAAAATTCTGTCTTCATTTACTCACCATCAAGTTGTTCAAAACCTGTATGAATTTCTTTAGAATTTCCTTTAGAATTAATTAAGAAGATATTTTGAAGAATGTCGCGGGAGCCAGGTGACGGTATAGCCATTGACTTTCATAGTATATTTCCCACCCATAATATGGAAGTCAATGGGTCCAAGTCCAACAACTATAGCAAACATCCTTCAAAATTTCTTCTTTTGTGTGATTAGAACAAAGAAATTCATGGGCTTGAACAACTTGAGGGTGAGTAAATTATGACAGGATTTTCATTTTTTTGGGCGAACTATCCCTTTAAGTCAGATTTGCGTTTCAATAAGGATAACCAAAGCAATAGCCTGCAAAGGCGTTGGCAGCTCAAACCAGTTGTAGTAGACTCGTGCACTATCATGAGGAAGCTGCCACATCTTCATAAAACTAAGATTATAAGAGTTCATTTGGCTTTAAGCAGAGTTTTCTGCTTCAGTCCATCAGTGTTAGATATCACTGAGACGCACAAAGGTATAGTGACACTCGGGCATAGAGACAATACTGTTTCCCTGAGGGGAGAGATCTGGACAACGAATGACTGACAAATCTTGACGTGCTTATTCGCACTCGAGATAAAATACGATTCTCTCTTTGTCATTGGACAGGTGAAAATGAGATGTTAGGGTGTCAGATTTGGACAATAATTTAGGCCTACTTAAAAAATCTGCGTGCAAAAACTTGCAGAGAGAAAAATTCCACGAAGCCCCCAAGCGGACATGGTGTTGGGGAAAAAAAAAATATGAGAGGGGAGGAAAAATAATAAGTCAATGCTTTTGCGTTCTCTCGTAAATGTTTTGCGTTCCCTCGAGAAACTTTGCGTTCTTTGCGCGTGGACGCAATTTTCTCGGGGGAACGCAAATAGTTTGCAAGCGAACGCAAACTGTCTCGGGCGCACGCAAAACATTTGCGAGAGAAAGTCAAAGCATTGGCAAATAACTTTTCCTCTCCTCTCATATTTCTTTTCTTCACCGCATATGGGCTCGATACATTTCACATGGAATTAAGTAGCCTACAATCTTAAGTTAAGTAAAGTTGAAAAAAAGTCACTTTAACTTGGCCAGATTACTTTGCAATAGGCTACTCTTTCAATACATTTTACTCAAACAATATAACTTTAAATTAGACCATGCTTTTAAAGTGAATGCTTTACATCTAAGTAAATAAAACAGTAGGCCTAGATATTGCGAGTAGACAATCTACATAATAGAAGTAATACCAACTCGGACACAGACCTCAAATAAAAGTAAGATTCGGAGTATCATTTGAGGATCAATGTGTCATTTTGAGTATAAAATGAACAGATGTCACAAAACAACAAGTTAAGTGCCAAGTTCCTAAAACAATGGCAAAGATAAAACAGTGTAAACACAGCTGGGAAACAGTGAAAATTGCAACCTTATTAACGTTTCATGCCTAATTGCATGATGGGAACAGTATCAGAAAGTTGAGTAGGTTTTACTTAATTTTACGTTGATATTTACGCGTTATTTCTACAGGTTTAGATTGAATATGCTAGTAATATAGAATTTACTTTGTTTTTTAAATTCTTGCCTTATCTATGTAGAAATTTGCTGTAGTATTTACTTCACCACAGAATTATCATGATTAAAAATAATACTTAGCTACCGCGGATATGCAATAACCTTATTTAAACTAATCTGATTTGCCACTAATTTAGTTTTGGTTACGTGAATGGATGTTTGCCCTCTAAAAGTAGATACCCACAACTTATGAAATGAGGATTATATTTACATTTTTTTTTTCCCGCACGTAGCCTATGGAAATGTATAATGCTGCTACATTTCAGGATGAATTTAAAATAAGACTGAAATGAAGTTAAAGCTCCTTCAGAAATAATGGTTTCAGATGAAATGAACACTCACCTGTCAGCTTTTCATCACATTGAAAACAAAAGGTCTTTCTCATCTCACCTGTTCTCACGAGACAATGAGCTTATTTAGTTTTCTGCATGGATATTTCACTCATTTGGAAAACACATGGACATTGGTGCATTTGTATATTCATTATTTATTTGATTATCAAGCATGATCAAACGCAGTAGGATTTCGTGATTTTTTGTACATTTATCAATTACCAATACAACACCAGAAATTCAATCCTAAACTGTGAATAGATTCATTAGTTAGAGTACACTGACCACTAGTGGCTGTTCAATGCAATGCTTCACTAACTATTACACCACACTAATTATTATAAAAGAATTTCAAGTCAGTTTTATTTGAGAGTAAAAAAATAATAACAGTAAGACACAGAAAAAAAAAGCTCTCAAAAGTTAAGTCAACCGTATTATTTGCTCTTTTTTGCTTTTTTCTTTAAATACTTTTTTGGGGGGTTTGACGCCGTTTGAAGAAGCATTCACTTTTACAGAGATCCATAAATGCAATTCAATGGACATACAGTAGCTACAACGGACATGGTGAAGGGGAAAATTTGATATGGTATAAACAATTATGTGTCAATGCTTTTGCGTTCTCTCACAAATGTTCGAAGCCGCGAAAGCTTCTCGAGGGAACACAAAACATTTGCTAGAGTAAGAAGCCCTTAAAGAGACATGCATGGTGGGGGGAAAAAATTGATGGAGATGGAAGAAAAATTATGTCAACGCTTTTGCGTCCTCTCTCAAATGTTTTGCGTTCGCCCGAGAAATTTTGCGTTCGCAAAGGTTTTTTGAGCGAACTTAAAGTTTATAGCATTTTTTTTGCGAGGAAACAGTTCTTAGCGATTTCTTTGCGAGGAAACGCAAAAGCATTGACGTTATTTTTGGTTTTCTCCCACCACAATGACCCTCTAGGGGCTCCGTACGAATGAAAACAAAAGCATTGACTTGATTTAATTCCCATCTCATATTTTCTGGGGCTCCATACAATACTACGCTGCAAACATTCAATGTTTAATGGCTCACATGCTGGCATCAGTCAAATCAACTAAGAAGGTTTATGATTTCAGGCACTTCGGCTCTACAAAACAGACCAATGTTACACATAAAAAGATTTATGAACAGCCCTTAAAGTGACGATCTTATTAAAATATATCAGGGCAAACATGGATCTAAAATGAAATTTGATCCGAGTAAATCAATTTCAGTTCATGAATCAAAACATTCACACTTTTAAGCCACAATGCGATAAAGTTCATGGTGCAACATGTAAGTTTGATGTTGTGGTCAGCAGCGCCCCCTACTGGTACAAACAAGAGGCTGATTCACAGTGAGCACAAGCATTACCCTAGATTGAGTTTAAAATCACACAGATTCGAGCAAGAAAGTGCAGTAACACAGACATAAAAGCATATTATATTTGTTTTATCTAAAAGAAACATTGTCATAATACTTGAATTCAGAGCAAAACACACTATTTGATTGTTTTTTCCCCCTCCAACCCTGAAAAACGACAAATCACAGAGAGCTACAGTAAACGACAGATCATTCCTGCATTCCATTGTAACAGTACAAAGAAGCCAGTGACCACAGTGTGTTTTCAAACGCAGTATGTGCCACTGAGAGGGGAAGTGTGTGTGTTCAGGCGTTTAGTCGAAGCCTTGCCAGTCGCTTTGCTCAGAGTCGTACTCGAGTTCTGCTCCCACACACCGCACGCCTTCCAGCAGCATCGGGGTCCCGTGGAGACGGTCTGAGCGAGGAAGAGAGTCACTCAAGTGAACGTCATCAATTCAACAATATCAATTCTGTTTTAACTTTTAAAATGCTGCCGTCAGTACAAGTTAAGCTCAATTGCGTGGATTTGTGGCATAATGTGCATTACCACAAAAAATTATTTTGACTTGTTCCTCCATTTCTTTAAAAATTGGCAAAAATCTAGAGATTAATCACTTACATTGGAAATTATTGGGGCCTATTTTTGTCAAAAGTAAAATACTCAATATGTAAACAATATGTGTGCTAACATGATTTTAGTGAGGGGAAAATCACTTAACTAACCGTTTCGGTCTAAAGTTTCAATTTTACAACCCCATAAACCCTAAAACGATTACAAGTTTTCACAAAAATATGAAGCAGCACAACTGTTTTAAACATTGATGATAATCATAAATGTTTCTTGGGCAGGAAATCATCATATTAGAGTGATTTCTGAAGGATCATGTGACTCTGAAGACTGGAGTTAAAAATACAGCTTTGATCACAGGAATAAATTACAGTTTACCATATTTTCAAATAGAAAACAGTAATTTGATATTGTAATAATATTTCACAATATTACTGCTTTTACTGTATTTTGGTTCAAATAAATGCTTCCTTGATGAGAAGAGACTTTAAAACACTTTAAAAATCTTACCAACAGTAGTGTAATATGCACATTTTAACTGAAGAATGAATGTAAATACTTTTAAGAATGTCACGCTTCACATTTATGCTTTAAACCCTTAAAAAAGCCGTATTTGCTTCATTTTAAGCTGTTTGCTTAAATTATTAAGCAAGTTGAAATTATTTTGTGCTGATGAACATTATGCCACAAATTTTCTTAAAGGGATAGTTCACCGAAAATGAACTCATTTCCTCCCCCTCATGTTGTTCCAAACCTGTAAGAGTTTCTTTGTCCTGTTGAACACAGAAGAAGATTGTTGGTAATTAAACAGTTGATGGCAGACATTGGCTTCCACGGTAGGAAGAAAATAATTTGGGTGCCGTCAACTGTCTGGTTACGACATTCTTCAAAATATCTTCTTTTGTGTTCAACAGAAGAAAGAAACTCATACTTGAGGGTGAGAAAATGAGATGATTTTCTTTTTCTTTTTTTCCGGTGAACTATCCAGTTCAATTTTGAAATTAATTTTTGTTATGTTTTAGCTTACCTCAAGGGCATCCAAGATGTAGGTGTCTTTGTTTCCGCAGTAGTTTCGATTTTGATATTTTTAGGTCAAACCGTTCTTGTCTGTCAGTCATATAATGCAGGTCTATGGTCACCACCTCAAAGAGCACGCACAGAGAAGTCCAAATTAAACATGATTTAATGACTCGTAAATGTAAGTACACATTGATGGCCTAAGACACGAAACGAGCGGTTTGTGTGAGAAAACGAACAGTATTTATATCGTTTTTACCTCTTGAAACCACAGCCACGTCCAAGTGATCTCTCGCGCGTGTACGTCACTCATTGTTTACACAGAGATTTCGGAAGTGTTACCTTTCACTGTGAAGATCTAAACATATTTAGATATACAGGAAATAGCAATGGAAGACGATTTCGATATATCAACAGACAACATTGATTTTTTTTTTGTTTTTTTGGAAGAGATCACTTCCGGCGCTTTCCGGCGCTTGCGCAGACCGAAGCGCCGGCGCCCTCAGATCACTTGGACGTGGCTGTGTTTACAAGAGGTAAAAACGATATAAATACTGTTCGTTTTCTCACACGAACCGCTCGTTTCGTGTCTTAGGCCATCAATGTGTACTTACATTTACGAGTCATTAAATCATGTTTAATTTGGACTTCTCTGTGCATGCTCTTTGAGGTGGTGACCATAGACCTGCATTATATGACTGACAGACAAGAACGGTTTGACCTAAAAATAACAAAATTTAAACTTCTGCGGAAACAAAGACACCTACATCTTGGATGCCCTTGAGGTAAGCTAAAACATATCAAAAATTTATTTCAAAGTGAACTATCCCTTTAACTTGTATTGCTCCTGGAATATTCCTTGAACCAGTTTTTACACCAGAACGCCAGTAGAGGGCAGCAAACAACCTCACATCTGATCTGCTTCATTCAGGGTGTCATTTAAATAGCCATCCCAACAACCATAACTCTCAGTTATTGGCCAGTTTAGATCGGTCACTTACCCATGACACGGGCGTGAACTTTGACCTTCACACACACGTCCTCTTTGCTCTCACTAAGAATCTGCACCTCCTCACACATCACTCCCTCCTGATGGGCCATATATTCACACGTCACCCTCAGACCTCCTGAACACAGATACAGAGGAGCATCATTTATACAGGTTCATCTCCAGGCATTGTACATGAACGATGCAAAACGATTTTTTATCTCACAGACAAAAAGTTTGTGTGACGACGAGACTCACACTCATGAGTTCAGCTGAACGAGAGTGTATCCATTAATGGGCACATCTCCTGTCTGATGTTTATTTATCATTTCCTGGAATCATGCACACAATCTATCATCGCAATGGAAAATGCCTAAAGCTGATATGAGCTGTCATTTCAGTGGACAACAGGTAGCCCCGCCCCCAAACTAACACGATTGGCTGAGACAGAAGTTGACATGTTGGGACTCTTACAGTATCAAAACACTTAATTAAGTCGAAATAAGTTAATAATAATCCAAGTCTTAATAAGTTAAAGTACTAATGTTTTAGTGGTCGTTCACAAATAATGCTTTTGGCATTCTATTGCACTGTTTTATCAATTGTTTGTCTATGTAAACATGCGCTAGATTTTTTTTAATGTTTATTTATTTGGTGATGCCCAAGAGCTCTGCTAATCTGTCCACACAACACTTAAATATTATTTAAAAAAATTACACAAAACATTAAAAATACTGTCAGTGACGAATCAGAGTCCAATAACAAGCTTAGCATATATTCAAGATTTACAACCATCTGTGAATGTACAAAAATAAACTAAATTTCTAACACTTATAACTTTAAACTGCACATTAAACTGCGATATTAGAACGTATTAACCACTGAATATGACACACTTAACCTTTAAATTCACCAAATGTTGTGCATATTTGCCTAAAAGCTACTTAGCTGCGCATTGAATAACCCATAAATGCTTTGTTACCTGTAAGTACGTTTTTTAAAACATGTTTTTTTTTTATTTCATCAGCAGATCGACAGCACTCAGAGCGTTGGATGACACTTCTTTATGTGTATTAATTAAAAACAAAAAAAGTCATAATAACAATAACATACCAATAAACAACAACATAATATAAATATACTATTTACTATCCAATCTTTTTTCTTCCAAAAATAAACAAGTAGAAATATCTATCCATCCAACCATCTATTTCTCTAACCATCCGTACATCCAACCTCTATCCATCCATCATCGCTCTAACCATCCATCCTCGCTCTAACCATCCATACATCAAACCTCTATCCATCCATCCATCCATCGCTCTATCCATCCATCCATCCATCGCTCTATCCATACATCCATCCATCGCTCTATCCATCCATCCATCCATCCAACCTCTATCCATCCATCCATCCATCGCTCTATCCATCCATCCATCCATCCATCCATCCATCCATCCATCCATCATCGATCCTCTATCCATCCATCCATCCATCCAACCTCTATCCATCCATCCATCCATCGCTCTATCCATCCATCCATCGCTCTATCCATCCATCCATCGCTCTATCCATCCATCCATCCATTGCTCTATCCATCCATCCATTGCTCTATCCATCCATCCATCCATTCCTCTATCCATCCATCCATCCATCCATCGCTCTATCCATCCATCCATCCATCGCTCTATCCATCCATCCATCCATCGCTCTATCCATCCATCCATCCATCCATCCATCCATTGCTCTATCCATCCATCCATCGCTCTATCCATCCATCCATCGCTCTATCATCCATCCATCCATCCATCCAACCTCTAACCATCCATCCATCCAACCTCTAACCATCCATTGCTCTAACCATCCAACCTCCATCCATCCACTGGTCTAACCATCCATCCATCCATCCATCCATCCAACCTCTATCCATCCATCGCTCTATCCATCCATCCATCCATCCATCCATCCAACCTCTAACCATCCATCCATTGCTCTAACCATCCATCCATCCATTGCTCTAACCATCCATCCATTGCTCGAACCATCCATCCATCGCTCTATCCATCCATTGCTCTAACCATCCATCCATCGCTCTAACCATCCATCCATCTATCATAGCATTCAAAAGGCTCCTTAAGGATTTGGACACACTTAAAAATGCATGTCATTGCATTAAAACCGTGAGGGAACTGCAGGGCTGAAGTGTTGACGAGTTATGAAAACCTAATAATTCATATAAAAACCTAATGATTAATGAAATCATAAACATTTCAAATGAAAACATTTAAGATAAAAAAAAAATAGTTTACCAGCATGTCATGTGACTGTGCTGTGATTGAAATATTAACTTAAATATTTTAGGTCGAAGGGCTGACAAAAAAGTTTAGGAATCTCTTCAATAAGCCACCAAACACCAGAACTAACTTGATGTGGTTTCTTCATCAGCATGTTCAGCCGTGTTGGGTCAGAGAGCGATGGGACGTACCATCTGAGGACGCGGTTATATTAGTGATCCGCAGGTGTGGATTGGGGATGGGGGCTGGACACACGTCTTTCCCGAGCTCTGGCACCTCAGGCAGTGTGAACAGGATCTCATATCGGTGCTGCGCTTTCAGGAAGCCCACCTGAGGAGATCGAGGGAAGCAGAGAGGGTATGAGTGGCTGGCATCAGGTCTATGATGATAAGGGTCAAACTGCTGTGTGCACTTGAGATGAAGATCATGGTTTACTGTGATAACTAAATAATAATAAGTTCACTGTTAACGTTAATTAAATCTTAGCTGACTGATGAAACCATCGTATGAATCATACACTGTAAACCCGAATAAGTTGGCAAAACTCAAATATTTTGATGTAATCAGTTACATCACATTTTTTAAGTTAAGAAATTTAACGTTTAAGTAAGCAAAACTTGCAGATTTTTATTTTGTAATCATACATTTTAATTGCTCTTTACTTTAAATATTTGAGTAAGCTTATTCACACACAACTTAAAATTATCATGTAATCTCTCAACCTAAATATTTTTAGTAGTGGAAACTTGGCTAGCTTTAACCAGCTAATTTAAAAAATGCTACTTTGCTAATTGGTGACCCAAAGCTTTGATAGCATTAGCATAGCACTTGATAAAGGAGTACAGCAATTGAAAACATTTAACATACACTGTTCTCAAACCAAGCTCATGCTCCACATGAAGGTAACCCCCCCAAAAAATATATAAAAAAAAAATACCAGAAACTCTTCTAAACTAGCAAAACAAAACATTAAACACTACTAAATCTCCCACTTAACATTAATCTGGCACAAAACACTTAATTTTAGCATTTACTCTCCCTTTTAAGTATCATGGCAAAGCATGCTGGGAAATAGAAATCCCAGCCCAGTTTCAGTTAAATTTAAGTTTGTCTAAATGAAAAGAAACCAGTTCATAGAATTTAAAACAATTAAACAATTCAACTTACTTAAAATGTGTCAGTTTTGTGAACTCAAAAGAAAAAATAAAGTTCTAAATACTCAAAGTTAATTTGATTGAACTAATTTGTATAATTTAAGTTGGCCCTACTCAAACCAATTAATTATTTTGAGCGTTAGGGTTTACAGTGGTTTACTTATTATTAACAAATCCATGAATTGTTGATTGCTTAATTAATGATGACGACATCATAGTTTGCTGATATTATTAATATAATGAATCTGCCCCTACCGATCGATGATGAAAATATAGTCAACATATTTTAATTAATTTAGGGCCAAATGATCATTTATAACATCATAGATGACTAATTTCTGAACGGAATGAATTGTAGGTGCAGAAGACATTAAAGAATATCTAATATGTGATCCGCTGGTGTAACTGGATGTAACGGCAAAAATATTCTGTCAGATTAAATGTTCATTACTTGTTGAAGATCTTTTTAACCTAGGAAGGAAAATGGGATAATAATTTGAAGGTTAAAAACTAATGAGCACTGGTGGAAAAGAGAGTGACAGAACTCATGCCAGGAAACCTTCAAACTGCATCTGGGTCTCACAGCGAAAGATGACAGAATCACATGACGTCTAATCGGACCAGAGTCCTTGTCAAAACATAATAACCGAACAGAGAGACAGTCCAGAGGTGCAGGTGTTCATACACTGCTGTCTCCATGGCAACACAGGGCAGTAACGGGGCAGTTAGATTGAGGGAGCGGGAGCATGTGCGATGAAAAGAGTCACAGAATATGACACCCACTGTGGGGTGAATGTGACGCGAGAATGCATGTCTATCTTGTCTCAGATATTTGCGAGTAGGAGGAATGAAAAGACTCAAATATATTCAAAAACTCACTGTTCTCACAACAAGCAGCTTGTGTACAGCGAAGAGTCACAACAAAACAGACCCCATTTACTTTTATAAACCACATTCATCTATTTAACATCCATCCATCGAACAATCCATATTTATCCATTTATCTATCAATCTATCCATCCATCCAACTAACTAACTATCTATACATTTATTAATCCATCCATCCATCCATCCAACAATCCATATTTATTCATCCATCCATCCAACTAACTAACTAACTAACTAACTATTTATTAATCCATCCATCCAACAATCCATATTTATCCATCCAACTAACTAACTAACTAACTAACTAACTAACTAACTAACTAACTAACTAACTAACCATATATCTACTAACTAACTAAAACTATCTATCTATCTATCTATCTAACTAACTAACACTAACTAACCAACCAACCATATATCTAACTAACTAACTAACTAACTAACTAACTAACTAACCAACCATATATCTATCCATTTATTCATCCATCCATCCAACAATCCATATCTATCCATCCATCCATCCATCCATCCATCCAACTAACCAATCTTATATCTATCCATATTTATCCATCTAACCAACCAACCAACCATATATGACAACCATCTGAAATGCACTTTCTGTAAAGCTGCTTTGAAACAATATGTATTGTGAAAAGCGCTATACAAATAAATTTGAATTGAATTGAATATCCATCCATCCATCCATCCATCCATCCATCCATCCATCCTTATCCATCTATCTATCCATCCATCCATCCAACATCCTTCTAACTAATCATCCATCCACCCATCCATCTAACTAATCATCCATCCATCCTTATCCATCTATCTATCCATCCATCCATCCAACATCCTTCTAACTAATCATCCATCCATCCATCCATCTAACTAATCATCCATCCATCCATCTAACTAATCATACATCCACCCATCCATCTAACTAAAACGAGAACCACTACAAAAAATAATAATAATTCAAATCGCTTGATGGCAATCCATTGCACCAAAAAGTTATGGAACAACTAATCAGAGATAAAAATAGTCTCATCACAGATCATGACAGCCGTGGGCGAGTGGTTAGTGCACATGCTCTGACATATTGACCCTTGGTGCTCATATGCAACCAATCTGGCTTGTGTCATTTACTGTTCCCGTTCGCTCTCTTCAAATTCCAGATACAGCTCTTGGCATGAGTTCTGGCAATGCCTTCACATAATAAGGCATAATAACAAAGAAGCTGAAGATTTGATGTGAGCTGGGAAATAAACTCAGTGTTCTTCCTGTAATATGAACTCACACACTCGACTAAAGACCATCAAATAAGGCTAATGAATAACCTCAGCAATATAACTCGCTCACCTTAACCAGGAAGTTCCCGGTTGATTCGGGTATCACCATGACGACGGAGTCGTGCAGTTTCTCGTCAAAATGCACATGCGAGTGAGCGGCGGCGGCGGCCGGTTCCTCCGCGAAGCGAACACCCCCCGTCTTAGACGACGCTGCAGAAGAACAAAAGCAAAGCACTTACAGCTGCGCTAATTACACACTGCACACAGATTTACACACATTGCACTGAATGAAAAATGCTCAACAAGAACCTTTCAAAGTTGCAATTATTCAAATCGACCTTGCCATTTGACACCCGAAAACCCTGAAAGACCTTCAGTCTAATATCAGAGATCTTTCATTTCTTTAATCAAAGAAAGTTACAGCAGAGTGGGCTTACATTCAATTTAAAGTTTCATTTCCATTTAGAAGGTTTTCTGCCAAAATTCATAAACTATATTTGAATAGACTGATGTATATTAAATAACTAAATAATTTCATTTCTTAAATTGGGCTTACATTCAATTTAAAGTGTTTTAAATCAGTTTAAAAAAAACTTGGATGTTTGGATCAAACAAGCACCTAAAAATGGAATTAAAAATGATGCAGACAACAGGAAATGACATAATGACACAAGTATTGGGCCTAACAAAACAGTTTTGATTTTTATTTTGCAAGTTTGTCTCTCAGTCTCTTTTCCACAGGATTTATTAGGGATTGAAAACTGGTTTTAGGTTCACTCTGTGGGATGTTTAAGTTGTGTTCATGCATTCAAAAACGGCTAGATGGAGCGCAACAAAATGAACAAGAAAGCAGGAGTTAATTAAATTAAAATATGCATCTTTTCTGAGAGGGTTTTACTGTGCAAGCTGTCTAACATCTTCAGCACATCCAATGTGCCAATTACAGCACCAGGACTAAAAATATCAAAACTAAATAAAGAGAAAGAAAATCCCTAGCAATGTTCTTCCTGGCTCTCCTCTTTTACAGTCTGATTTAATAAAGCAGGTAGTCAGGCCTTCAGGGGTGTGTTTCTCACACACAGATCAAACTAGGCCTTGAACTAAAGTGCAAGATCAATGCTAATTCTTCTTTTAAAATCCATTTGTGTTGCAGGATTAGGGTAAAACTGCTTTTGAGAAACCACAAGTACAGGAGTTACATTATTGTAGTAAATTCACTTCCATTCAAAAGTTGGTATGTTTTTAAAAGAAGTCTCTATTCTCACCAAAGCTGCATTTATTTGATAAAAAGTGTTTTCCATTTGAATATATTTTAACGTGCAATTCATTTTTGTGAGTCACATGACCCTTCAGAAATCATTCTACCGTAATATGCGGATTCGCTTCGATTTCCAATTATTAACAATATTGAAAAAGTTGTTTTCAAAAGTGTTGTGCTGCATTTTGTGGAAACCTTTTTCTCTAAGATTTTTGATGAATATAAAGATAAAAAGAACAGCCTTTAAGTGAAATGGAAATCTTTAATAACATTATAAATGTGTTTACTGTCATTTTTGGTCAGTTTAAATGTCTTTTTGAATCTTATACTACGGTAACCCTAAACTTTTGAACGGTATCCAAACGCTCACATCTGGACCAACCGAGCACAAAGCCCACCGTAATGAACATCAGCTTTGGGGATTTGTCCTTGCTTCATTTTCACTCTAAAATCCTCCATGTCTGTTCAAAGCCTCTGCCAAAAAACTGCTTTTATTGTAATTTGGCGATAAGACATTGCAATTAATTTCCTTTTTTTGTGTGAAGTTTTTATTTATTTTAAATCTAAATTAAATGATCAAGTAACTAGATTTAAAAAAAACTAGATTTTTACATTTTCTGAAAAACACGTGCTAACACGATTTCTCATGCTAACCGGGTCAATTCTAGGGTGTTTGCCAGGGCATTTCTATGTGGTTGCTAGAGTCTTCTGGCGGTTTCTTACATTTACATTCATGCATTTAGTAGACACTTTTATCTAAAGCAAATCAAATTGCATTCAAGTTACACATTTTATCAGTTCATGCATTCCCTGGGAATCGACCCATGACTTTAATGCCATCCTGCACTGTTTGAGCTACAGGTTTCTTACTTGTCAAAGTCAACAGAGCCCACTGCCAAGATATTCTAGTTTCTAGATAGGATTCAATAAATAATCATTAATTCCAGTCTCAATTCCTGAATGAACCTAACAAATTTCCATAATGCCAGTCTATGGTCTTCATTGGCTGCCCGCAAACGTCTACTTTGGCCCTCAAACCCTGTAGTTGTAGCTGAGACTGGAAGAGTTTGGTTCGTGTTGTTCATGTTGAGAAGACGCTGGAATTGATCTGGAAACACCAACGCCATCATTCGTATCACTGTGTATCAAGTGCTGAGAAAGATCCAGGGCTGAAATTCAGATATGGTAATGGCCGTTTGGTTTCAGACATGCACTATAAGCGGTAGACCAATCACAACAGACTGGGCCATTTGACCAACAATAATAGTGGCAATATTACAGACATTAGTTATAAAGTATTCAAATAAGTGTCTTATCACACATGGCAATCGCACAATAAACACTATGCTGTTAGAATTGAGTAGACTATAATGTAGCGTCGGCACTGGGGACTCATCTCGTGAAATGACCGGACATTGACAGACATAGTGCTGATTACATCAGGGACTCTTTGGATCCCTGCGCTACGAATAAAAATAAATGACATTTTAGATTCAGAGGAAGTCTAGTGAGATGAACAATAAAAACAACAAGATGGTGTCGCCAAGATACTTCACATTCACACTCAAACTGGCTGCAATAAACATGTACATTTACATTTTATCCAAAGTGGCTTGCGAATGAAGAGCATCACAAACAATTTGTCATAAGAGCACAATGCCAAGTTTAGAGTATGAGAACGATTATCACTGGAGCAGAAGTGAAATGCAGAAAAGAGAAGAAAGAGCAATTTTAAGGGAACTATATTTGAGTATGAGTATATTTTACAAATATAAAAATGATATGAATCTGGAGGGTCAGTGTTGGCCCTGTTTGCCTGCAGCTGTCTGTCATGTGGCATTGAGGTAAAATTACACATAATGTAATGTAATCTGCATGGGACAGGACGACATTTGTAGTATGAGTGATCACATAATTGGCCTCATTACAGAGGTTATGGGACTCCAACAGTTCGCCCAATGTAGAGACTATAAACACTCTCACACACGACTAACAGACCTGCCAACTAGTGTCTCATGGTCTAGATGACCAACACAGAGAATATACACAGCATTAAAATACTGTCCTGGAACGGAGAAATCTAGATTTAAACTTGATATGCACTGCAGCCTACATTTTATAAGCTATGAGCACAACAGACTAGAATCGTATTATCTTATTACTTCTTATTTATCCCCACACTAGAGGTCTTCACGGGTCCACTTGGATCCAAAAACCCAAGGTCCGACCCGAGAACCTCGGACACAGGTTTGGTTCGGTATTAGTTGCCTTGTGTTTTGGGTCATTTAAAATAACTATGCTTTTTCCAAATGGACCCGAGAAGACCCAAATTCTTTTCAACTATGTCGGGCATTTTACTAAATTGTATTATTTAAAACAATTCTATGACAACGTTATCATCTCACTTTTACTAAGTTCTCTCTGAATCTGGACTGGATTGCTTCTGCATTTAGACTCAGTTGCGTTTCAACGAGCACCGTCAGCATGGATTAAAATAAGCTTTAATCATCTTATGATCAGGTAAATAACATTACGGCAAAAGTTATATCATTGACATCAACAGCACTGTGTGCATTTTCGAGAAACGCATGTAGAAAAGGAACAATCGTTTGTAACGGCTGCACAATTAATCACAATTAAAATGAAATCACGCTTAAAACGATTATGAAATCGCAAAGGCTGAGATTATTTTATATGTGCAGCTTGTCAGTGACGTACGGCTCTGTGATCAGTAGTAAACGCTGCTCCATCTAAAAGCACTGCGAGTTTGAGTCGCTTATAACGTGAATTTGAAAAAGCAACACGCGTCTTTCCAAACATGAGCAGCATTTATGAACCTCTTGTCCAACAAAAGACAACATTTAATCAATAAATCAAAGCGTTTTGTTTATTCAGGTACAGATAGTATGATGCCCCTAGGGATTTCCTGGAATGACGTGTGTTATTCATAGACAGTAAAAGAAATGGACACAGCGACCCCATAGACTTCAACGGAGAAGCGTGAAGCCAATTAGAAGCACTCTCTTCCTGATGGCCGAGCGACTGCGCAGACTCAAACTGAGCTTGACGACGGAGATGTGACGTGAGAAACCTGTCTGACAGCTGTAAGTCTTCTAGTAGCTGTGCCAAGAGGAATTTGAATCATTCCCTTCCGAATCTCACAGAGCCGGAGAGCGTGAGTAGAGCTGTCCATGAGCAGCAGGAGTGACTTTATGACTCTCTATGGGCTTCTCCCTCGACTTTATGCCTCCACGTCCCCCCGATTGCCATGAGCCTCTCCTCCTGTCTATACGGTAATTTCTCTACTGTGCGACAGAGAGTCGCGTGGTTATGGCGCAATCGTTAGCCTATTTTTACAAAAACTGCTTCTACGGGGCCATAACGTAAGATACAAAGTAATGGAGCCTTTTATACATTGTCGTGTTTCTTTAGAAATAAATAATGAACAAATGGAGTCTTTAAACGCCTCAGATGTAAAGTTATTCGCTGTCAAAGGGACGCCAAAATGAATGGGAGTCACTGGAATGCTAACAGCAGGAGAAGGTTCGATAACCAATGGCGGCCCCCGGGGAGACTTCAGTTTCCAGCTGGTGGATTACCCCCTTGGTGTTATTGTACTTCTTCTGCGGGTTATATTTGGCATGTGTGTGTGTGAGACGCCCTCTGGTGTTCAGATGGAGCAGCATTTACTACCGATCATCCACTGCACTGACAAACTGCACATAAAATAATCCCAGCCTTTGCCAAATCGCGTGTGGTTTCATTTCGATTAATCGTGGAGCCCTAGTTTGTAACCTCGCACACAGAAATCACTCTTATGGCTAAGAGATCCATCAGGAAAAGCCACTAGCTTCATTACGCTGCGTGTTCATGCAGGGCTTTTCTTTTGTGTGTGCAGAACCCCCTTGCCAGACATGAGGTAAATAGCGTTGCAGACAACACTAGCGAATCTATGATTTATTAGGCTATCGATTTAAGCTATCATGTTTATTTTTCCGAAATCCCCTGTTCACAATTGAAAGGCGAACTCAGAAATAACTTGTATCCATCGGGCAGGCATTAATATAAAGTAATAAGTAAATAAATAAATGAAAGTAATGGAGCAGCGGCCAAATCAGTCAAAAGGACACCGGGTCCAGTCGGGTTCGAAAATAAATGCCGTTGGGTCAGACTCGGGGTCTAATTTTATCGTCTCTGTCTCGGGTCGGGTTTTTCTGTTAAATTGATTAATTTATGCACGTCGTGATCGGGTCAGAAGTAATTTGAGTCGGTTTCAGATTTTAGGACTAGGGGTGTCACGGTTCTCCAAATCTTCGATTCGATTTAATTTTCGATTCTAAAGGCCAGTTCACACCGGGACGAATTTCGCGCGCGATATTCGCCGACGTTTAACGCCTCGTGACTAAACAAAGGGCGCCAATGTGAGTGTGCACACCGACACGAAATACGCCACGCGTAAAAGCGTAATTTTTTTTTAAAAACGCCTCGGGTTCGTTTTTTTGGTTTGACGCGCCGCGTCAAAAACTATCCGACCAATGAGATTGGCGCTTTTGCTCACGTGTCTGGAGCGTCTGAAGTTACAGTAAAACACAACTTGGGGGGCGCTCAAACACAAAACGGTCTTGCCGAGCACACATCCGTAACGGCGAAGAAGATATACGCCAAGTAGCGTCTACACTGCCGGGGAGAAATAAGACGAGGAAGATGCAAGGCAAGATGAATGTAGAGCAGCTGGTCTCGTTGGTGTCGGAACATAAAGAACTTTATGACAAACGCCAGAGCGACTACAAAAATCTTGATAAAAGAGAATGTTATGGAGTGGTATTGCAGAGTAAATGGGCGCCATCTAATGTCAGGGAATGAATTTGCATGTTCACTCGGCTCATCGTCAGCGAAAATCGCTTGGGTGTGAACACAAAAAACGCGTTGAAAAACGCTGACGAATAACGCACGCCGATATTCGTCCCGGTGTGTACGAGCCTTAAGGTCACGGTTCGGTTTGATTCTTGATTTTTACATTTATTTTTTTAAAGCACAGGTTGCTATGCCATTTTTAGAGATTTGAGTCGGTTTCAGATTTTAGGACCCAAGAAGACCTCCACCCCACACAAGTAGGGCCAGAGGAATTCATGCATTTATGTCCATGACTTTCAATGCCCAAATGTCTGATAAATGCCTGAAAAGGTGGATTGGTCTAAATCATATTTTTTCTTTATGTATAAATAATCTAAAAGCAATTCCGTTCTTCTGATTGAAAGCAGAAATGCTGCAGTCTGACAGGGACCAGAGATCGACAGACTCTCCATCGAGCGAATGCTCAGTGGTGCTGTATAGAGGTTTAGATTATGAACCTCATCTAAAACTTCACACCGTAGCCATGGCAACGACGAGAAATCTGGCCCTTGAGGAACAGGACATTTCCAAAAAGCTGTTCTGGGGTCAGTTTTGTGCTTTAATACACAACGACACAGCCTCGAGCCGGCTGAGATTGGAAGATGCTTCGTGAATGTTGCACAGCTGCCTGAGCTGGAAAAAACGTAGATGTTCTGGTGCAACAATACACAGCATGACAACAGACCCTCTGCCTTCATCCAAAATGAAACTTTATCGCATTCATACACAAAAACAAAATGGAGGACATCTTTGTGCCTCCAGGATGGATTGATTACCACAATAAGTGGTGGAAAGACAGCAGCCAGACATTATCTTTTGGGAGTTTTTCCGACGACTCTGAAAGGCTTCTCAGACAGACGTGAAAACAGACACGAGCTCTTGCACATTTCCTGATGATCAGAAACAGCCCACATGTTTAGCAACTGCTGAGTCACCACCAACTGAGCAAGAATTCATTATTGTTCTCGCTTTATTAAAATCTCTGAAGCCTCATTCCTGAGAATGAAAAACCAGCAGGTTGTCAAAACTCATGATAAGCAGATTGACATTTTTGAAAGGCAGTTTAAAGTCAGTGTGGTGGGAATCGGGATTATTATTTTAATTTTTTAAACACATTCAACTTCCTAAATTTCCTTCCTAAAAAGCATTTTTAAAAGTCCTCATATTCAAAAGTTTGAGTTTGTAATGTTTTTGAAAGAACTCTCTTATGCTCACCATGGCTGAATTATTTGATAAAAAAATGTAATATTGTGAAAATAACGTTTTTCTATTTGAATATATTTTAAAATGTAATTTATTCCTGTGATGCAGAGCTGAATTTTCAGAAGCCTGATTTACTGATTTTGCGCTCAAGAAACTGATTTGAAAAACATTCAGGGTTCTTTGATGAACAGAAAGTTCGACAGAACATAATTTTTTTGAAAAATAAATCTTTTGTAGCATTAGAAATGTAATTTACTGTCACTTGTGATCAATTTAATGCATCCTTCCTGAATGAAATGAAAAAAAAAAAAAAACAGAAAATGCATTTAACTGAAGCACCACTAATAATTAATGTTAACGTTCATTTATATATTCAGCAGTATTGCGGTATATAGAGCATAAATGACAGAGGAAGTGAGTTTCTTTACCCAAAAAAAAAGAAAAAAAAGCACATGATTTATGGCCAATTTGACGATTTAAACGCAATTCTGCTGTAAAAAAAATGAAACACTTCAATTCAAGTGTGTAAAAGACAGATACACACCTTTCTTAGCAGTGGCCATTCTGGCATCAATCTGGACCGAACGCAGGATTAGCTTCTGTTACGACCTCATCGTAGATATCATCCGACCTCAAAACAACCCTGAGAGAGACAGAAGCAGAACGACAAAAAAGAAGTCAATAAACAGACAGAGATGATATAGAAAAAAAAAACCCAATTGTGTATAAATTGATTTTTTTAAACCAAGAGAGGGGGAATATCATACACTTCTGTTCTAACACAATTAAGAGGCTTTTGTTAAATCTGCCGCATGTTTCCATGACACTCAGCCAGCTGTAGCCTACGGACCATAATGGAACAGGACGGACACACCATAGAGTAGTGAATTATGAAGAAGAAGAAAAAACACTCAGAAAGAGAGCTGGATTAATGTCACTGAGTTGTTCTTCTGATTCTTATGCCCCGGTACACATTATATGATTTTGGGCCGTCCCAGACGAAACATGACCAATCGTGGCGATTGATCTCTGTGGTCGTGGATCCTAATCGGTGGATCTACGTCGTACAGTGAGAGAGACTCACAGTCTTGAGACCAAAGATAGCCTTGATCATTTAACACTTCATCTCAGTGTGTGTTTGCTGCTACGACCATCGTGTTCTGACTACCCAATAAACATGCAACATGAAATGGCGTATTGATCAACGCGACATGCGCTACAACTTCTTTCTTGAGGAAAACTACTTTCCTCAAGCTCCATTTGCAAGATTGACATGGTATTTCCCCAAGCCATGACCGCGTCCACATTCTCCTCTTTCGCTTCCTCTTGTTTTTCAGCGCACATTAAAACCACAATTGCCAAAGTGTGATTCATCTTGCTCTGTTTGTTCACCACTAGCTCACGCTGATGCCGTTTTATTCTTCTATTAACTTGCGTCGTAGTCTACGATTCAACAGCTGTCATCATCGTACAGTCTACATACATGTCGTACCCGAGATTATTAGATCCATGTCGTACAGTGTGATTTCGTATTGATCTTTGATTGTTATGCTTGATGCCTTCCAACTTCCAGATGCTGTTTGAACAGTCAGCGTTTTTTAAGTTTTAGTCTTTGTCTTTCAATTACTCCACCCTTATTCCTCTGGGTGATGAAAGTGCCTTTATCAGATCTCATATTTCTGTAACTCGTTAGAAAACCGCTGTGACTGGAATAAAAGAATATGGAGGGACTTTCTGAGAAACCCGCTAGCCTAATCTGCAGAAGAGAGATAGAGAGCCAAACCTGTTTAGTATCGTTCACTAAAGCCTTCAACTCTACTGTCAAACACATACTGCAAGAAGCAGGGTGTCAAGATGTTAAATGCACATCAGAGAGAAGAAAGCTTGATGATGTAATTAAGTGGCAGAGAGCTCAGATCATCATAACCACAGCAGAAATCTCATTGCTATTCTCATTATAACAAAACACTCAATAGTAGCCATTTAAGAACGATTGCTCCTGCCCGTTCATCCGAATAATGAAAAATATAGAGAGACACTGCAGAAGGTAGACAGTAGAAAACAATAAAGTAAATAATGTGTTACTTTTCTAAGCAATCATACTTACATTTTCCCCCAGGCAGACGATACAGCTGACAAACATATCATGGAGACTTGATGGGCTCTTTTAATTTTACATTTAGCAACCACATAGCAACACAGTGGCATTGTAGCAGTGACTTTTGCATGGACCGAACACCATCACATTTTCTTATGAACGTAAAATTTGTATTTATCTACTGCATTTGGTGCACACCCAGGTGAAGTTATTGTACCAAATGCAATAATTTTTTTTTGTACACCAAATGCAATAAACTTGTTTTTAATGCACCAAATGCAATAGCTAATTATTTTATGCACCAAATGCAATAAACATTTTTATGCACAAGATGCAATATTATTTTTCTGTGCAGCAAATGCAATAACTCATTTTTATCGTGCACCTATGCAATAACCATTTATGCACCAAATACTATGATTATTTTTGTGCCGTAAATGTTATAACTATTTTTGTGCACCAAATGTAATACATATTGTTATGCACTAAATGCATTAACAATATATTTTGTAAACAAACTGCAATAAACTAGTTTGTGCATCAAATGGCAAATGCAGCAACAATTATTACATTTGGTGCACAACATTTTTTGTTATTAACTAATATTTCTGTGCTCCATGCAATAATTAAATCATACTTTTCAAAGGGTGTGGTTGCTAATTCCAAAGTCCACAAAAATGCTAGCCTGGGAAAACCCAGACAACTTCTGGCAAATTTAGATTTGCTCATTCTAGCCCATTTCCAATCCGTCGAAATCGAGGCACCAATCAGAAACGTTGGGGCGGGCTTTACACGATGACGACAGCGCTGGGATTTTGAAGCAGATTTTGTAGCCTACATTACAAAGATGGATGCCACCGTCAAACATCACTCGTTCGAATCAGCTATCGCGTCTGTTTTAAAGAGGCTATATGTAACTTTTTCCCAAAAATAAACGTAACAATAGCCTTTTCATTTGACCATTTATGACTCAAATATCTCCTGATGAGCATACTGACACCTTGTCCGCTCACATTGGGTGCACCTATAAGCCTGTATTCTATTTTTCCTATTTTCTGTCGGGTCGGATTTCCCCTCGCTGTCTGCGGATGTGACGTCAGGCGCGTTCATGTTAAACGTTTCAGACCACTCTGCCACCACCGCTAGTCAGCAAGTAGCCTACACTCGCAAGCAGTGCAATGGATTTTGCGATTTTGTGACTGTTCTTACCTCTGTAAACAATGTTGACCTCCTTGCAGCAGATGACTTGTGAAGTGTGCACGTACGTACGAGCGCTGCGAGAGCGAGCAGAAAGGAAGAGCAGTTCTGTTTTTTGGCCACAGGTGTCAGTCGCGAGTTTAAATTTCAGAAAAACGCATATAGCCTCTTTAAGCGATTTGAACGTTTCCTTTTTGTTAAAAACCGAGCAAAGAAAGAACAACACTCGGAGATGTTTCTCCGCCGCTCTGCATACGTCATCTCCTTCATCGCTCTGATTGGGTTTTGGTCTATCCGCGACGTCCGTTGGTGACGCCCCTCTGGAAATGATTGGTCTATGATGCTTTGCCAGACCATAACTCAGTTACAACTGAGGTTTTAACCAGGCTACAAAAATGCTATCCTTGACTTTTTACTTTTATATTATAATAGACCCAACTAAAGTTTAAGATGCAAGGAAAAATATCCTGTAGAAACTACAGTAAAAAAAACAAAAAAAACATGCAGCTTTGGTTGGGTGTGCCCCTTAATAAATTATTCTTTCTTCCTCCCCTGTTCTATGTTCACAAATGACTTGATAATTTAGAAAAAGAAGTGCAGAAATAATAAACAATTGCACACAATCCGATATAAAAAGCACAGATTTCCCTCCATCACACACTTCTGCTGAAGTGTCAACACAAGCGCTGCAACAGATATGAAGCAGTTACAGTCTGTACTAACATGGCACATGAGAGAAAACTGGGTCAATGTCTCACATGGACTGCTTTAGCGAGGACATTTATATGCTCATGTTCACCCTTTACAACTAAAACATACTCAGCATGCATCTTAATCCTGAAAGCCATCTGGAAAAACACGAAATCCCAGGAGAATCTGCTGTGGCTTGCCGTCATGCATCCTTCGCTAATTGTACACTGTAATTATCCTGAGGCAAAATACTTTAAGAATGAGCCCTAACCTGAATTTATAGGTTGCAACTTGCAAGTAGCATATAATAAATGTAAATCAAGCTTCTTCAGTTGCATTACAAAGTGCTTGATGAAGCTTTCAACCCCAGCCTGATGTTGAGACAGAAATGCTGCTCTGTGGGACTCCACGGACAGTTAAACAATGAAACACTGACTTCTGTCGCGTTTAAAGCTGAACTGATGGAAAGAGAGCGATGCATGGATCTTCCCGAGTCCTCTTCTGGCACACAAACTTATGCAACATCGATCATTTTTAAAAGCAAATGGCTTGAAATACTCACTTGTTCTCACTGATAATGGGCTTCTGCTGTGGTTGATTACAGTCTATAACTTCTCGAGATGTTACAGAAATAAAACAGAACCTGAACCCGCAAAAAACCCAAACCTCCAGTCAGAACCACCCGACCGCTGGTCTGCGAGTGACTGATCCACTTCACACACACATACACACACACTTAACAGAGGCGTAACTTCCGCGTTAATCACGTGGTTTCTGCTGTTGCACTGTGTTAACAACGCCTGAGTTGTGACTTTAGTGCTGGGGATTTTTATTCATAACACGGTAATAACTCGGACTTTATAACGTTTGTATATCACAAAAAGGGTAATTTCCTGTTATTCGGTGCCTTTTGGGCATCATAAAATGTAGAAAATCAAACTCCGTTTTTAAAAGAGGTTTCATGATAGGGTGATGGAAAACATTTGAAAAAAATAGCTTATTTTGGTAAAGCTCGGGTAAATGGGGACTAAATGTAACTATTTAATGAACAAAATAAATGGAAGATGTCAAAAATGTGCACCCTGTTAGGGACAGATAAAAATGGCTAAAATGAATGTTTGTTTAATTTTTAAAGTACTACATTGTTGATATTATAGTAAATTTGAATTTGTCACTGAATTATTAGGTGGGGTTTTTTTGTGCTGATTTTATAAAAATTATTGTTAAAAAAACAACAACTGCTTAACAGGGTGGACAAACTGATAACAGTGTTGACAATGGTATAAAGAATAGATGGATGGATGATCTCCTATCGCTCACATACAACCAGTAACAATTTACCTTTCGTTTGAACTGGATTTAGAAGGGAAACAATATGTAAAACATTGCCAACAAACTTTAAATGCACTACTTCAACTTTCCAAAGTTTTTTTTTTTTTCACAAATTACTTTCACAATCACTATGTAAACTTTCACTGATATAACAGGGTGGACAATCAGTCCTGAAATCAGCCACTTCACCGTGTCTGAGCAAAAACAAGCTGACTTATCAAATAAAGAATTGCATTGTCTTTTAAAACTGTCATTTTAACTTTTTTCATATTGTCCTTAAAGGGGTGGACGTACCGTCAGATTTGAAAGATAAAACAAGATAAAAAAAATAAAAAAAAAATAGACAGTTATAATCGAGGTTGTTTCCCTCCAAAGAAGAGATGGCTGTTTTATGATATGATGTCATTTAATTTTCCAACGTTCATTTAAAGGGATAGTAATCAAAATTTACAGAGGGACAAGCTAAAATTATGTATAGTAAGTGTTTATGATGAAAATAGGCTACACAGGCCTGGGGGAATGGGAAAATTGTGATATATGGCGGTTCAAAATGCTGTAAAATGTTTCAAAGATATGCTTCAATATTATTGGAGTTCAAATGGTGTTAATTAAGACATTAAAATTGATATTGTACAAGATTTTAAGGCAGTAATATCATGATCTTTACTCAGGACACAAAAGGCACAGAATCCCAGGAATGACCCAAAAAGTATTTTCTTTTACTTTTTTAATAAACTCGCAATTTTTACTTTTTCAGAATTGCAACATATAATAAAAAAACTTCACAATGTAAGGACTGGGCTAAAAGGGTGAATCTGAATAACTAAATACATCCTGCTAAAGACCCAAAAAGCCTGGAATGTAAATTTACACACACACACACACACACACACACACGCATCCCCCACACGTGAAGACCACACTCAGGACAGAGCGTGGTGTCCAGTTACGAGACATTTTTATGACGGACTGGAATGTCCCAAAGAAGGTGATTCTAAAGAGAAAGAAACTTCTCTTTTTAAAAGACATTTAACCAGATATATTTGATGTGTTTTTATGTGTGTCCAGTTGCCCATGTCACATTGGAATGACTGTGATTCTATCGTAGCTTAAAGTGAATTATAAATACCTTCATTATGCATTTTAAATATAACTGTCTATTTCCATAACTTATACACATAGTTCTGGACACCTCCCGAATGCTTTCGGTGTGATCAATCAGAATACGTACAGTAATATCCAGTAAAATATAGTTTACTATGTTTTCCATCTTTGGAGTGAAAAGAGACCAAAACTAACATCACTGGTGTTCTTAGATAACAGCGTTTACGACCCAAAGGAATGTTCACAGAACTGTGGCTCTCTCTGAATTCTAACCAAGGAGGAGAAATGAATCCTGTATTCATATATATATGCTATTATATATCCACTTGAGAATTGTATGAACGATGTATCTAAGTTCCCTATTTCATGAGTTGCCTTTCTGTGGTTTGGTCTATGTTTCTCGACAACTCTAATGGGATAATGTTTCAAACTTTGCCAACTAATGTTTAACCAAATCCATTTGTGGCAAGTTTGGTCTCGATAAACTCCAATCTTCGTTCCCCATTTGTTAATTGACATTACATTTTGCTAAACTTTGTGACACATTAGTATTATAAGAATTGTGAAGATTCTTCTCTTAAACACCCAATGAAACTAGCGATTTAAATGCATGGTTATAACACAAAGGGTCATAAAAACCTCCCTCCAAAGGGACAGCTCCTGATTGGACCCTCTTCCAAAAGAAGGCGGAAACGTCAGGTCTTCAAAAGGACAAACCGCAGGCTAAAGCCCTCTCTTACTCCGCTGGGCTCCTCGTCTGCTGAACAATGTAGTCGTAGACTCGATTTCCCCTCGGGAAATCCCTTTTTGCTCTTTTGTTTCGTCTAAAAGTTTCGTCTTTTTCTTAAGTGTCCTACCAAGTTCACCTCCCAGGAAAGGAGGCGAACTTAGCCGATCTATTTTCTTTGGTAATGTTACCTCCAAGACTTTAAACCTCTGTTCAACACGCGCGCCAAGCAGCACCACGTGACGCTTCCACACGAAGGACTCCGTTCACGCATGCGGCCAGACAGGGCCGTACAGGAATGCCTCGACACAGAGAGACCATAACATAACTTGTGCAAGTATAATCTCTTTATAGAGCTTCTAAGAAGCTTTAAGATGATGTTTCGTGTTGTAATCGGAGAGGTGAATGTCTTAGGAGCAATCCTGCCAATGTTCTCTCTTTCCTCCCTTTCTCTCTCTCTCTCTCTCTCTCTCTCTCTTACTCGCTCACGCGTGTAAGTTATCCATTGTCCAAACTTTACGCATTTCTCGTTCATTGATGTCTTATTGTATTGTTCGTTGATGTCTTATTGTATTGTTCATTGATGTCTATGTGTTTGTAAATACATATATATCCCGTGTAATCGTAGTAAATACATAAGTAGTCATGCCTCTATTAAATTAATTATATATTCATTTGATTGATGTGCTGTCTCTTTGCTCAATTTCAAGTCCCTTAAGTGCAAAAGATCTTATGCTACAAGCTTACTAAAATTAAAAATACCTTAAAGAGTATGTGTTGTGTTTGTAGGGCGGGAAACCCAATTCTTCTGGCCAGATAATTGCGTTTCCTGAAATCCTATAAAGTAAGATGATATTGTGGATCCCACAAATATTATCCTGACAATTGAGCTAATTCATTTGACCTGTTTTGTGAAACGTGGTCCGTGTAATTAATTGCAATCAACTTGTGGTTAATTTCAAGGATTCACATGCATGCAGGTAAAATGACAGATCCTCCCTTATCGGGAGATTTATTAACATGTAAGACTGATCTAATCCAAACATGTATGAATAATTATTAATTACCAATTATTAATTATGATATGCAAATTCCCCACGGATTAGATCCGCCCTGAATCCTTACAACAATTACCTTTTTTATTTTTTATCCCGTGACGAAACAAGCTTCCATATTACGCCAGTAATGTGAAATGAATCATTATTTCCTCCTTTATTCATTTTGCGTAAATGCCATTCTTCCATCCTTGTATCGCAGCAGAACGACCTGAAACGAACAGCAGCTCGTTACTTAAACGCTATTGGCCTGCGCTAGTCAGTCCTTGCAAGAATCAACACTAAATTCCACTCAATTCAAAATATTTTCAAATAATTCAACCCATTTATTCATTCACTTGAACTGTGCATTTTCAACAGCACTATTGTGGTGTAAACTGTGGTTTAAGATTTTTGTGTAAGACAAACAGAACCTCGGATACTTTGATCTCCTGAGATATAGAAACCACAAACACACACTGCCATTTGTCTCCATAGAGTGAAGTTGTGGGAAAGCTTCTTTCCCTCCTGCCCTTCCTTCACATTTGTTCCTTCTCCCCCACTTCCTTTCCTTTACACATCCTTTTCTTCACTCAGTTCACTTAGAAAGATTATATAAAAATTATAATGTTCGATCTCAATAGAAGTGAATTAACAGTCATGTTTGGTATCATTTAAAATGTCTCAGTGCGACTGGAACAACGGTCTCATCTCCACAGAAGTAAACCAAATGGTAATAAGGGTTTAGAGATACTTTGCTTACTGGGTGTGCACTTTATCCCAGAGTCCTTCATCCAAATTACCTCCTGTTCCTCGACAACGTGTGAATTCCCTTTGTCTATAGTCAATGCAAATTCCTATTGTAAGTTCATTCCCCACATTGGGAGATCTTTTGCCTTGGTCTGAGTATATAAAGGAATATCTCAAGAGGCTCGGGGCAATTTTGTAGCCAGATCAACCCGTAATACTGAATGTCCTCAAGATACTCAGCATTATGTATCTTTTCAGGTCAGGTATACATCTTTTACTCTTTATCTCTGAGCATTTGATGTTATTGTATTGATTATCTTTAAATTGATTATGTAATTGTCATGATGATACATTTAACTGACCATTAAAAATTAGTTACTTTTGGATTTATTCTGACTTACTCTGAAATGATTTCCTCCAGTAGATTACGTTAAGTCCATAACACCACAATTCTACGACCAGGTTAAACGGACTGAAATCCAGCTTAGGTGGAGCAGAGGAGCACACCGACTGAAATTTCAGAGATCTGACTAACACATCAGTACAATGTCAAGTCAAGTCAAGTCATCTTCATTTATCTAGCGCTTTTAACAATGTAGATTGTTCCAAAGCGGCTGTACAGTGATAATATTAAATTAAAGTAACAGAGATTGTTTTGGCTTTATGGCAGCTCTAGAATAAAGTTATTTTCCAGCTAAAGTTAGTTTTGATTGATTCACTTCCGTCACAGAGATC